GTGCAAGCCCCAAAGAAGCTTCTTGTGTCCTAGCAGAGGCTGCATGTGCAGTTATGGTGCTGTTTCCAGCAGCTCTGAGGTCTGGGTAGAAGACATGATGGAGACTTTGCACTAGGAAGAGAACAGCAATCCCTGAGTTGAACTCCTTGGTTGCATTAGGAGAGACAGGCTCCACACTAGCTGACCAGCTAAGTTTTGCTAACTGTTTAGCTTCTTCACTGTCTTCAGTACCGGTTTGTAGGAACGTGATGCCATACAGTATTAGACCCTGAAGGTGTTAGAAGCCACCCTGGGGACAGATGTGGAAACAGCTAGAAGAAAAGCTAGAAACACCCAAAAATTTGATAGTGGCCGAGGGACCTGATAAATGTGCAAAATTACAGGATGGCTTCGTATAGTGCCTTGCATTTTGGTTCATGAAAGATACACTTACACAAAAGCAATGATAGAATAAGAGCTATTACTATTATTACTTTCTCAGAGATAGACAATTAGTTGCACAAAGTTGTTCCCACTGCCCTTCCTCAAAATCCCAAGTTAATGTCCCGGTCACTATTTTTTTTTAACAGGATTTTTCCCCAGGCTCCAAGAGACACAGAACCGTGGAAGATTTTAACAAGTTTTGCACCTTTGTCTTGGCGTATGCTGGTTACATCCCCTACCCCCAAGAGGTAATGTGTAGCCCCTTATTTTATCACAGATACATGCCAGTGTAGCTATTGCTGGTGCGAGGCTAAAGGTTTTCCTGCATGTGTTGGAAAAGGTCTTCCTGGCAGCAGCTCACAAAACTATGATAATGTGATGATCTATGCAACATAAATACCTAAATGCTAGTTTTTGTGTTTAAAGAAGTTGGGTTCTGTGGAAGCTCTTACTGGGTCAAAAGTAACACACTGAAATATGATAGTCCAAAAGAAACTGCCAGCAAATAGCCTTACATTTAGAAAGTTTTAAAGGTAACAGTTGGTCTCTTATGATATGCATATGTTTCTCTTTAATCAAAAATGAAATGTCTCAAACCTTGTTTGGCTTGAAGAGGCTGAACAAAGTGTAAAAATCCAGTCTTTAATTATTTGGGTGGTGGGCACTCTTTGTACAGTGCCACAAGGTTACATTTAAGGTATTTGAAATATGTTGTGTCTCTGCCCCTTCCCAGACCTCTGGGGCCACAGAGTTCAGCTTATTCATTTGGGGGTTGTTTGGTTTCTCCTGGGCTGGAGTTCCTGGCAGAGGCCTAGGTTTCAAAGCATATGGAAGGGAGTGGAAATTTTAACTCTTCGAACTTGCCACACAGCACTTGACTGAAAATGCTGAAGCCTAAACACTAGGCTGTATTAGAATAAAAAATGGTAAACACTATAGGGTGGATAGCTATCAGCTCTAAAACAATGCTTACTTTTGCTCTCTTAATATTTTGTAGGAGACACCTTTGAGGAGCAGCCCCAGTCCTCCTAATAGCACTGGTGGGACCATTGACAGTGATAGCTGGGATGCCCGATTCAGTGACCTCCCTTCTGCTGTCTCCCTGCCAGTCAAGAATAGAAAAAACTTCAGTCAGCTCAAGCGAACAAAACCATATGCTTCCCTGTTCCAGCGAGCAAAGCCTAGCAGTTTCCTGCCAGAACGAAAGCAAATTGATAAAATCAGGAAGAAGAAAAAACTGAAGAGAAGGGAAACAGAAGTGCCTGTGGAGAAAGAATATGAGGAGAAGCTCCTGGACCTCGAGGTGGAGGACTCTTATGTAGAAACCCCCATGAGCCCTTCATCTGAGGGTGACCCTCAGTCCGTGACCGACCACTGTTCGGTGTGGGACTCTGATAGTCCTTCGAATGTCTCTTACGCTGCTGCTAACTCTGAGCAGGCTGTGGAGATACACAGCGTGGGCAAGCGAACAGTCATCCGGCAGGGCAAGCAGGTTGTGTTCCGGGATGAAGATGGCACTGGGGACGATGAGGACATCATGGTGGATTCAGGTATGTGGGGGTGGGGGTGGGATAGTGGGAGATGTTCTGTGAGACAGTGGGTCAGACTGTTAGTGATCCCATACACAGCCTTTTTGTATAATCCGGAATAATGCAGACTTATCTTTTGGGAGAGGGGGCTGAGAGCTAAATTCTCATTAGCATTTGCACAAGCCTCTTAGCTCTTTCAAAAGGTGGGCAGAGAAGAGTTTTACTGCTCAGTGACCAATGGCCTGAATTACAGTGTCCAGGCTCAGGCTAGAGCCCTTTTCATGGGATGAATTTTCATGTAAAGCTGGAAACGAGTCAGAAGCTGGTTTTGGAGCTGAGCATTTCTCCCGGGGCAGCTGCTGAAATTCTGTACAAGAGCAAAGTGCAGGTGGCAATGCAGACTGCAGCTTCCAGCATGCCCTGGAGAGGCCTGCATACAATATCGGCCTTCAAAACCTCCAGATCAAGTTAGGTCCAAGAGGGAAGAGTTGAGGTACAGGTAAGATGCAGTAGGGACATGGAGGGAGGTTGTTTTACCTTGCTCTTTCTCTTTCCAGATGACGATTCCTGGGACCTAGTCACCTGCTTCTGCATGAAGCCTTTTGCTGGTCGGCCAATGATTGAGTGCAATGAGTGTCACACCTGGATCCACCTCTCCTGCGCCAAGATCCGCAAATCAAATGTCCCGGAGGTCTATGTTTGCCAGAAGTGTCGGGACTCCAAGTTTGATATTCGCCGTTCAAACCGCTCCCGGATGGGCTCACGCCGGCGCTTTCTGGACTAGCCAAGGGCGCTGCCTGACCAGCATGCCACTTGAGCAGATTAACCATGCAAAGCACAGAACTCCAGCCAACTAGGTCTAGGAGAGCTCCTTTGAACTGCATTTGCTCAGGCAAAAGGGGGCTGCCTGCCTGTCCATGTTAACAGGCACAAGGTGTCAGAAAGTCTGACAGCCAAGGCTGGAAGAGGCCTGCTGGTCAAAACTGCTGCTAGACACTGACTAGCTGTAGCAGACAGATGAAGCACCCCAGGTACAGAGGGGTTTTTGAACAGTTAAGACTACAAAGGGGATGATGTCTGGGAATGTGTAATACTTTTGCCACATGTTAATTCTCATCCCACTGGGAAAGTGCTAAGAAACTGCAAGACTTCTGTGTGTTAAGTCAATCACCGCCCAAGAGAGAGGAGGAAGAAAAGCTCTGTATGACAAGTCTGAAAAGCTATTGGCCATATATTTTAATTTTAATGTAATACTAGACCCCCCACCCATTTGTCCACATATAACAATCTTAAGTATTCCTAAGACCCATGACAGTGAGTGTGAATGCTCACTGAACTCGCGTGTGATCTGCCTCTGCTTTGACAGGGTTGAGCAGCAGGCGCAGCATTCGTTGAGTTCTGTGGTTTTTAGCATTTGCTTCCAGTAAAAAAGAATGATTTCCTGTTGCTCCATGTACTGATACTTTTGAGGGGAGAATAAAGCCTCTCCTCTCTTCAGGTAGGCAGTGGTGGGTGGGGGTTGGCTGTGACAGTTCTCTTCCTTTGTCAGGCTGTTTTGTTTTCTCATCAAATTATTTTTCTGACTTTGTTTTGCATGTGTGGATGTGAGGTATCCATCCACTCTGTTCCCAAGTGGAGTCCTATGTCTTGTTCATTTCTGATACTTTCAATGCTCCAAGTCTGTCTTTCGGAGACATTGATGACTCCTCCATTTCTCAGCCCCTAAAGTAAAGCATTGATACCATAAGGGGCCTTGCAAACTGAAACTGAGGAATGCAGACAGGCCTCACTTGGGATGGTGCTGTCCCCATCAGAGTACTGAGGCTGGGTTTACCTGTGTTTTCATTACTGGCTTCCTAAAGTGGATGTTACAGGAAGATATTCTTTGATCTGATGGGTACAAATGTAATCACTTGGCATTGGTACAGTCGGGGCAGGGGACTTTGCAAGTGGTAAGGTAAACTGCATCTGAGAACCATTCAGCACTGTGGAGGATTTAGGGGTGCACTAGCACCAGAAAGTGTTTCTGTAATGTAACCATCCTGGATGGGGGTGAGCTCAGCAGAGCTGGAGACTGCTTCAAAAAAAGAAGATGACTTGTGATGCTGTTCAGATGTAGGTGCTGTCCTTGTAATGACCAAACCAAGTCTGTTGCATTGATTGCACAAATTAGGTCTTTGTTCTTGAGGAAGCTCTCCAAGTTCTGGTTACTGAGCAGCACAGGTTGTCCTGGCAGACAAGAAGGCTAAGGGAAGTTGCTAGCTGAGCTGGACCAAATGGCCAGGGACACATCAACACTAATGCAGCAGGCACCTTGGCAGTGTGTGGCCTTCCTGCACGCTGGCTGCCAGGCACTGCATCCTAATAGTGGCCAATGCAGTCAAGTGCCCCCTTTGGCCACACAGCGCTACCCTGAGGAAACTACCAGTCAGAGGTAGAGCACTCTGCGGCTCTCCTGCACAGGAGGCAAGACCAGAAAGGCCTGTTGGCATTTCCCACCGTGAAATGGTGCTGTTCTCCAACCAGTCCCTGCTGAAGTAGTAAGGACTGGAGTTGTTGCTGCTGCAGCAGCGGACCGCGGGGCGCTGCCTCCCGGGACTAAGCACGGCGGAGCCTGCCCAGGGTTTGCCCTGAAGCCTGGGGCGGCCTGCCAGTCTCCCGCAGGCAGCACACAGCCGGGCTCCCCAGCTGCCGCCACTTGCATGCTACAGAGAAACGGGCCGGAGGCCCCACGCGCCTGATCGCTGCGAGCAGCCGGCCCCAGGGGCTCCGCGGCAGGGCGAGAGCGGCCCTGCCTGCGCCGTTCACACAGTTCCGCCGAGCGGCGTCCCGCCCCGAGCCGTGCTTCCTCCCTGGGCTCGGGCAGGCACAGGGGCCGCGCCAGACCCCAGCTCCCGGCGTGCTCCGCGGCCGCCGCCGGGGCGAGGCGGGGCAGGAGCTGCAGCCGCTGCGGGGGCCGGGCTGCTAGGCTGGACGCCACCTGTGATACACTGTCCCCGCCCCTCCGCTCTCGCGCGGGAAATCCGTGACGGAAGTCATGTGCCACAAGTGGGGGCGGTTCCGGGTCGGTGCTCGGCTCAAGTGTGCGGGGCGCCGCCATCTTTGTGCGGGGCGGACGGCGATGCCCAAGTCCTGCGCGGCGCCGCGGTGCAGCAATCGCTACAGCAGCCGCTGCCGGCATCTCACCTTCCACAGGTGCGGGGGCGCACGGGGAAGGGCTGCGGGGCCCGGCCCGGCATGTACTGACTGGCGCTGCCCCCGCAGGTTCCCCCGGAGCCGGCCGGAGCTGCTGGCCCGCTGGGTGGGCAACCTGGGCCGCACGGACTTCCAGCCCAGCCGCCACGCAGTGCTCTGCTCGCAGCACTTCCAGCCCGACTGCTTCAGCCCTTGCGGCAACCGCGCCAACCTCCGGCCCGACGCCGTGCCTACGCTCTTCACCACCCCGCCCGCTGCCAACGTGAGCCTGCCTCCCCTGCCGGGCGGGTCTGGGCCGGACACCGCGGTTCCGTGCCTGGGGAGCCCTCATGGTACCAGGCGAGGGCCCCAGGTCTGCACCTTGCCCTGTCCCAGGGTCCTTCGCCAGACTTCCAGGCCCACTGCTTTGCTGGAGGCGGGTGGCTTGCTGGGCACAGGCTGCATCTCAGACTCCTTCGTCCTCAGAAAGCCACGTGCAGACCTGAAAATTCAGGCCCGAGGTCCATAACCGGTATCTGGGGGACTAATAAGGGCTTTGTGTTTGTCGCAGCAAATCGGGAAGGGGAAGAGTTCTCTGAAGGATGCTGAGGATCCCCCGTTGCCAAAAGTACGTCTATGCCTTGCAGTTGTACGTCTATGCCTTTCAGCAGGAGGGCAGTGCTTTCTAGCCCCTTGTGATCTTGCCAGTGAAGTGTCCTGTTTTCAGACTTGTTTAAATGCACTGAACCACCTGACTGTAGAAATCCTGACACTGAAAAAGTTTAAAGCAATCTTGCCTCAGTCACTCCTACCTTGTGCTCTAATTTGGATTAGTAATTATATATTTCATGCAGTGATTAAGGAAGAGAGAACCTGAAGGGAGGGCATTATTCTCCTAAAATGAGTCTCTGAGAACATGCATGGCTGAAGTTGATAGAGGTGGTTTTGCGGGGGGAGGGGTAATAAGCTGTGCAGGTCTGAGCTACATCCATGGTTTCTAACAGGACTGTACAGACAGTTGGAAGGACAGCGGACTGGAAGTAGAAGCTGTTCTTCAGGAGCCCCAGTCTACTACAGAGCAGCCAGTAAAGGAGGTAAAACAGTCTCTTTGCTCCATCTTGTGGGCAAAGCCAAGCATTGCTCTTGATGGTTACACACAACAAAGGACTAGACCAGGGTTGGGTAATTTTGGCTGGGAAGCCACTTAACCAAGTTTTGGCAATGCTTCTATAATGTAATCATCCTGGTTGGGGGTGAGCTCAGCAGAGCTAGAGATTGCATCAAGAAAACAAGATGGCTTGTGATGCTGCTCAGATGTAGGAGCTGGCCTTATAATGACCAAACCAAGTCTGTTGCATTGATTGCACAAATTAGATCTTCGTTCTTGAGGAAACTCTCCAAGTTCTGGTTACTGAGCAGCACAGGCTGTCCTGGCAGACAACAAGGCCAGGGGAAGTTGCTAGCTGATCTGAACCAAATGGCCAGGGACACATCAACACTAGTGCAGCAGGCACCCTGGCAGAGTGTGGCCTCCCTGCAGAAGATATAATTTTAACAAATTTTATAAAAAACAAGTAGTATACTAAAAATCAAATGCCTACTATAACATTTTAATTTTATTCCAAAAAATACTTTTGTCCTGATGCACAGCAGCTCAAAATAAAGTTACTCTTCTATATAGTTTGGTGGGGGGGGAGGGCTGGGCTGGGTGTGTTGTTGGGAGGATTTGCGTGGGGGGGGGGGACTGCCTGCATGCTAGGTCCCAGGGGCTGACTGGGGGAGGGGGACACACGGGAACACACACACTCAACCA